TGGTCAATGAAGCAAAAGCCATGTTGAAAGAGATCTTTGAGGTGAAAGATCTAGGAGAAGCAAAGTTTATGCTTGAAATCCAGGTAACTAGAACAGCAAATGGTTATTCTCTAGATCAATCTAGCTACATAGAGAAGATCTTGAAGAAATATAACTATTTCGACTATAAGCTTGTGTGTACTCTGTATGATGCTAGTGTAAATCTATTTAAGAACACTAGATTGATCCATTGTGATAGTACCGCCGCTATCGCTAAAGTTGAGAACCGGTTTTATAACGGAAAGAAATGACAGATTCGTCATAAGCACAGCAATGTAAGAGAACTCCTAACAATAGGAGCAATGAGGGCGGATCATATAAGATCCGAACAGAATCTAGCTGATCCTTTGACAAAAGGATTACCTAGAGAGAAAGTCCAGAATACCGCCAAGGGTATGTGACTTATGCCTACCGAATCACGGGCTACAAGTGATGGTAACCCGACCCAATAGATTGGGGATCCCAAGATATGGGTTCAATGGGTAATAACAAGCCATGAGTAGTATGCAAAAAGTTCATGCATAGTGAAGCATGAATCCCAAAGCAATGGAGGTTGAGTTAACAACTCTTAATGAGATCTATACCCTATGGGGTGGATTATTGTACTTTGGGGGTACTTCTGATAGACTCACCTATGTGAATGTGGGAGTGGGGCCGCTCCTTATGGAACTTTGGAGGCACAAAGTTGCTAGAGCGTTCACTAAACCAAGATAATGTGCATGGACATAAACGCACGGGCTAAGAAGAGAACACAACTAAATGAAAATATTTGGTGTGCTACACTGTCTAAGATAGAGTTCAAGACTACGAGTCACCCGGATGAAATCAGCAGTGTAATCACTACGCTAAGGTTCAAATCTTCGCGATACCTTAGCTTATGCCCGATCTTATGGAATTGTTGATGCTCGGAGATAGTTTCAAAACTATTCAATTGGGGGATTGTTGGAAATGAATAATGAATAGATTTGAAAGCTATAGTGTCTCAAGGTGGAAAAACTACTACATTGGTAGTTTTATTTGGGTGAAATGTGTATAATGATAGGAGCCTCTCTCCTAAGGGCATGCCCCTTGGGGTGACCCACTTTTGTGGGAGAGGGAAAACCTAATGGACCACCACACACAAGCGCCCGCGCGCGCCGGCCGGTTGGTTCGTTTACTTGAGACTATATATTTTTGGAGAAATTCCGAACGAAATTAAAAATTAAAATAATTAATTATTAATAGGTTATTCTTTATCATTGATAAATACGAGTTGAAAGAGGATAATCGAAAAAAGGAATATTCGAAGGATAATCCCATAGGAATTATCTTACAGACGGATTTTAATTAAAGAAGTAATTATCTTCCTAATTAAATCAGACATATTCCCCAAATAAGAGGGTATATTCTTAGGGTTCGGCTACTATAAATAACCGCCTCCTCATACTCTCTAAACATACCACAATACGAGCATAAACACATAGAGAGAGTGTTCATAGAACTCTGGTTTTCGCACAAAACCGCGAGTATAGAGAGGAGTTAGTTTATCCTATAGACGACGGGTTGATAGTCTGTCGTGTACATCGAGGCCATTGCCGCGAACGTCTTAAAAAAACGACATAGTCCGCGATTCAGCTCCAAATTCGGTAACCACGTTCTTGTTCCGTTCCTAACAATGTGCCACGATCCCCAGGTGGCAGCTTTTGGCATTGCAAAGTTCAAATTGCATGAGCCTGTCTTGTTCGATCAGGCTGAAGCCTTGCTAATGCTGTACTGATGATTGTGGAAGCTAGAGGATTCTAATATCAAATTGTTTGCCTCTTACTACGAATTTTCTAATGTTGGGTTTGATGAATCCGATTCGCGTTTGGATTCTGGTGTATGCTTTTGCTTTTCATTGTATATCTCACCCCTTGTAACCGTAATGTTGAGCGAAGTATTCTTGTAAAAAAGAAAGAATGACAAATTGACAATGATGAACTAAATCGTCATCATAGAATTATCCTGGCAATAGAGCGGTGAACAAACTAAATGATAATAGTATAGTAATGAAAAGTTGGTCCCTTTTAGCTACGCAACCCTTGCAAAAAGTAGTTGGGCCCCTTCTAGCATTTACTTAGGAGGGCATTTCGTAGATGAGGTTCAATAAAATCCTTTTCCACATTTGCATGTTCTCTCAATTTGTCAAATGTTATCCTTTACAATGCTATGCTATGCATTTTGTTTCTTTTGTTTTCTCTGTAGAGTGGGGGTGGTTTGTTTCTTTCCCTGTGTCGTGGGTTGACGGTTACTTTCGGTTGGCCTTCTCATCCCTTGACTCGGCAATGACTTCGGGACGAAGGGCTGACTTACTTATTACTAAACTTGCTCACTAGCCTCGTTGGCCCAAAGCTTTTACTACTTTTATATGTCCATCCATTCCAATCCATTGCAATATTAGTTTATTTTTTCCAGTATTGTGGGTTTTGTTTTCTTCCCAAAATTTCACTCCATTCCCATGCTGCGGGCTTGTTTGTTTGCTCTCTAATCCTGCCGACGTTTAGCATCAGCACCACTCCTTTGTTGACCAACTGGGTTCTCTTGGGAGTGGTTGAACAGCCAAGGAGACTGATCCAACGGCTGTGAGAGCTCAATCATATTAACCCCGCATCACTAGGAAACGAGTTTCATACATTTGGTATGGTATGTGCTAGAACGATATGAGAAATCAACAATGCAAGAAAGTAAAAACACACATATTTTTACGGGGGCTTGCTATTTGCCGCCAACCAAATTGCTATTTGCCGCCAACCAAAAAAAAATATATATATATACATATTAGGGTAAGGAGTTTCACAATCTACAACATATCCAACTTTCAGAGAACATATTGAATCAGAAAAATTCAACGCTCGCCGGAAAATCATCGGGAAAGCCTATCCTCGACATATACTGCGTACACGCATCAATGAATCATCACTAAGCAGGTGCGTAATTTTTTTGTAGTTTCGAACAATTTTTCCGACGATTTGAAACGAACAGACGGTGGGCCGAAAATTTCCGGCGGCCGGAACCTGGCCGGGCCGAAAATTTCCGGTGGCCGGAACCTGGCCGGGCCGAAAAATCCTGGCGGCAGGAACCAGGCTGAGCCGCAAGATATTTTCGGCCCGGCCAGGTTCCAGCCACTGGAAATTTTCGGCCCGGCTAGGTTCCGGCCGCTGGAAATTTTCGGCCCGGCCATGTTCCGGCCACCGGAAATTTTCGGCCCACAGTATGTTTTTGCAATTTTTCGGAAAAATTCGATTTTAGGAGTTGAATTTAGAGTTTAGGAGTTGAATTTAGCGTGTAAGAATTGAATTTAGAGTTTAGGAGTTGAATTTAGCGGTTAAGAATTGAAATTAGCGTTTAGGTTCACAGGAATATTGATATATTATATTGTAATTGTAGGAAAAATGTCAGAGTTGTTACCGGCCGATCATGATTACACACAGGAATTTGAGAATGGGATCCATTATGCAAGTGTGGACTTAGCTGAGTTAGCTGCAAGAACAATCGCTCAGCAGTGTGGGTTCTTTATTGTTAGAGGAGCATGGAAACCGAATACTGCTGGACAGAATCCTGTTACTGCCCTCTGTATGTATTGCGACAGAAGTAGTAGGATCGTTAAGTCTTATAAACCAGACCCTACGAAGGAGACGCGTGGGAATATTAGTTCGAAGGGTACTGGTTGCCAGTTTCAGATATGTATAAAGGAAGTATGGCAAAAGGATGGTCCAAACACATGGGTCATGGTGGGAGTGACAAGTCGTGAAACCGGAGCTAATAGAGGGTTTCACAACCATGAAAAGGTGTTGTATCCAGAACATCACCGACACAACAAACAGTTTAGTGAGGCTGAAAAAGAGAGGTTAAGATTAATGAGGAAGGCGGGGGTGAGACCAAATCAGCAGAAGACGACACTCAATACTGAAGGGGGTGTGCATCATGATATCAAACAGATGTACAACATAAATTCCAAGACAAGATTGGATGAGATGGGTGAAATGGATGCGATACAGTTTGCGCTTCATGGAGCTGAACATCGTGGGTACCATATCTGTTTGCAAAAGGACTCTAATAATGTGCTCACTAATCTGTTTTTTGCGCACCCGACGTCCATTCAGATGTTGCATGCATGGCCGTACGTCATCCTCATTGACTCGACCTACAAGACCAACAGGTACGGCTGGCCATGGGTTGAGATTATTGGGGTTACTCCAGTGAAGAAGAATTTCAACATTGCATGTGCAATTATTAAGCAGGAAACAAAGGAAACATATGAGTGGCTGCTGCGATGTATTAAAGGGTTGCTCGGTGATACGGTTCCGAATGTCATTGTGACAGACAAAGAAGGTGGTTTGCTTGCTTCTATTCCTGTGGTCTTCCCTCTCCCACATACTGTCCACCTACTATGTTTATGGCACGTCAACAATTGTGTGAAGCAAAAGTTTGAAGTGTTACTTGGTGGAATTGCAAAAAGAGAGGTAGCACATGCGGTATGGAAGAAATATTTCGACAAAGCTGCATGGAGTTGGACTCAGGAGGGTTTTCTTCAAAAGATTAATGAGTTTGAGAGGGTCTGGACAGTGAAGAACAAAAAAATGGTCGACTACGTGCGAGGTGAGTGGTTGCCTCATCAGACAATGTGGGCAATGTGCTATACGAACCATGTGTTTCATCTTGGTAACACGAGCTCGAATAGAGTTGAGTCATCTCACTCTTCATTCAAGACTTTCCTTGTGTCTGGTAGAGGAGTGATCGACACTTGTTTTGCGAAGAACCACAACTACATGGAACATCAGTTTCTGGAAGTGGTGAATGAACTGCACAAGTCACTGAACCGCAATCTAGTAGGGCAATTGAGGCTCCGTGCACGTTTTTGAGGAGGGTCGTTAGTTCTGAGGCAATCAAACTGATGTTAGATGGGGCGGCGTTAGTTATGAGTCAATAAGTCGATCTGCATCTCCATCATCCCGTAGGACTCTACAATGAGAGTGCGCCACGAACCAGTCAAGATAGTCTCTCGTAGTCTCATATGGATACGTCGTCCACGGCTGAGAGTACATGTCTATATGAACCATGTGGGATAGCAGAGCATCCCTGCAGCATCAAAACTCTTAGGAATCCGAAGGACATATCCACCAGGTGCCTCTGGTCGGTCTGCTCGCTGAGGACGCGAAGGGGCAGGCGGTACCATCTGAACATATCCAAACTGTCGGAGGCAACGGGCTGGATCATAGAACTCGCCTATGTCAGCGAACCGGATGACTCCAGTTTACAAAGAGCGACGCACTGCCTGATGAGGCCTCTGATGGAAAGGTGTCCCACATCAGAAGGGGTCAAGCTGTCAAGAGCTCGACGGTAGAACGCCAACCTCACACTGGGATCAGCCACAGAACCAGGTGCCGGCTGCCCAATCCATCGTGAAGCCCAAGCATCATCAGGTCCAACGGCGGCAGGCTCGAAGTGAGATGGCCTGAAACCCGGAAAGTACTCGTAGATCCAACACTGCAGAAGTGTGAGACAACCAGCCATCCCCCTGGCACCAGCACGAGACGCCTGACCAAGGTATCTGTACAACCAAGCAAGTGTACCTGACGCCCAACTATACTGATCTAACTCCTCCAACTCGTCCAAAAATAGGTTCACCACCGATCGAACCCTGTCTCTACTCTTGTCCACAAACAAAGTGGACCCCAACAACAACAACAAGTACGACTGCGCCTCTGTCACATGTGTCCCGTGGCTCTGCAAGTATCTGGACGCCATCTCTGCAAGAAAACCACCCTTCTCATACCACTTACCCCTATTATTATATCCAGGGACCTCCGAACGACCACTCAACTGCTCCGAGTTCATCCCAAGAAGCGCACACAAACCCGCCTCCGGATGGTCAAGCTGCGCAGAACTCCTACTCATCAGTCGTCCCTCAACAGGAATCTGCAGTAAGTACTGAACATCGTGGAGGAGGATCGTCATCTCTCCAAAAGGCAAGTGGAAGGTGTTCGTGTCTGGCTGCCACCTCTCCACAAAAGCTGAGATCAAAGCATCGTCAATCGCTATCTTGCGAAACATAGAGTACATCAGGTGCTGGAGACCTGACTGCTGAACCAGATTCTCCGCCTCAACATGACTAAACACGTAGCTACTCAAATAAGCAACCGCCGATGTACGGCTGTAGCAACTGATGACCCCTCGATCTCCAGCCCCCGTCCAAAGCGCATAGGCAACGTGGCCACGAAAGCTCCTAATGAGGCTAGGATCCGTAGGTCCACCAGGACACTCACCAACAAGCTCCCACGGTGGAGGACCACTCGAACGTCCTCCCCTACTCCGCCCAGTCCCCGAGCTCTCTGTCTCCTGACGAGCAGGTGGTACGAATCGCCCAGCTCGGTCCCTATACATAGCAGGACGTGATGTTGTCGTACGAAACGGCACTCGTCCATGTCCACGCGTAGGTGGAGGGACCTCGATATCCTCATCACTATCATCCTCATCAAACTCAGCCGAGACCACTCTGGATGCAGCACCCCGGTTCCTCCCATGGGAACCAGACGCCCGTGATGCCGAACGAGCAACTACAGTAGGAGCCTCTAACTCATCCTCCCCTAAATTTGCCTTTGACTGATGTCCAATATCTCGAGAGCGCTTTTTCTCCTTATTCTTCCTTCGTGCTGATGCATCAACAATCCTACCATTGAATCTATACAACTCATCCCCACCCGCATCACCCGCATCACCCGCATCATCCATATCTAATTATCTACAAATTTACAAAATATCATACTTAGATGCGCACTAATTAATTAATTTTCTATTAACTAATGTAATATTAACATCAATTGTTAATTAATCACAAATTAATTAAATTTCTATTAACTAATGTAATATTAACATTAATTGTTAATTAATCACAAATTAATTAAATTTCTATTAACTAATGTACTATTAAAATTAATTGTTAATTAATCACAAATTAATTAATTTTCTATTAATTAATGTAGTGAATATTAACATTAATTGTTAAATCAATTCTTAATTAATTAAAATTTCATTAACTAATCTAAGTAATTAAACATTCAAACGCCTATTACAAAAAAAACATTTATACACCAACTTAAATAAATATTAACACTAATTGCTAATTTCTACTAACTAATTAAGTATTTATTTATTTATTAATTAATTATCGTATTAAATTAAATTAAATACAAAAACTGGCCGGGCCGAAAGAATTTTGCGGCCGGTGCGCCGCCGGGCCGAAAACAGTTTGTGGCCGGTGCGTCGGCCGGCCGAAAAAAGTTTGCGGGCGGTGCGTCGTCGGGCCGAAAAACTTTTTCGGCCGGTGCGACGGACGGCCGAAAATTTCTTTCGGCCCGGCGACGCCACGGCCGCAAATTTTTTTCGGCCGGCCGACGAACACGCCGCCGGAAATTTTTTGGGCGGCGAGGTCGGCGACCGGCCGAAAAAAATTTGCGGCCGCGGCGTCGCCGGGCCGAAAGAATTTTTCGGCTCGGCGGCGTTTAGGCCGCAGTTTTTTTCGGCCCGCCCTGTTTTTCGCCGGAAAACTGGAAAACTTGCCGGGAAACTGGAAAACTTGCCGGAAAACTGGAAAACTGGCCGGAAAAAATAAACTTACTTGTTTTCTGACGATTGAGGGCGACGGGAGGTTAGCCGACGACGGAAGAACGGTGCCGGCGACGGAGGCACTGGGCTCGTCAACAGAAGTTTTTGTTGGAATGAGTCAAATGTTCATGGGTATCCGAATTTATAGAATGAAAGGAAGGGAAGGGAGGGAAAATTCAAAATTTGAATTCAAATATATATATATTTTTTTTTGGTTGGCGGCAAATAGCAATTTGGTTGGCGGCAAATAGCCGTTCACTTTTTACGTGGTTAACTAATATGAAGTGTTTTAGCTAATTTATGAGTTGGAGAGACTAGTTTCATTATACTTAACGATTTACATATTACGGAGGTTGAAAAGGTATATATAGCAACTTCTCCAGACAGGCCAACCCTAATCCAACCTAAAAAAGAAAAAAGTTACGGGTCATGACCAAAACAGTAAAAAAAATATCTTGTAAAAAAAAACCTCATAACCTCAAAACTTGTGCCTTGAATGACAGCTAATCTATTTTATGTAAGAAGGTAATATATTGATTTGCTATCCGAACAGTGAGATCTCCGTTACTTCCAATCAATGACAAATAACATATTTTCAAGTCAAAGCAATAGCATGTATGGAGAGATGGACTATATACTAGTTAGATGCATTTTCAAAATTAATTTCTCGAGGTATGGTGACTCACTCCTACTGTCACTCTAGAAATTGGCCAAGTGTAACCACTTCCTAAAGCGTAGTATAGCGGGTTTGGGTTTTAATGTCAACCCGGGTCCTAGATTTGATGACTACTCGGTGAATTCTTGTTATCTAGCAGTGAAACTTTAGTGAAAGTCCAAATTAACAAACAAACAAAGCAAGTGAAACGGTTGTTTTCAAGTCGAGAGAGGTCACCCGGATATGGTTCCCCCTAGACTGTAGTTAAGCCAGATTGAAATTTACCAAGTTCAGTTTCCATGAAAGTTATACTGCAGAAGGTTCTTAAACAGTCTGAAGTCTCGACTAAAGGTCTCCAGACCCTCTCAATCTGAGTCTCCAGCGGGCGACTAACCTCCACCGGAGTAAACAGATTGAGGCCCTAACGAACCAAACCTCCACTACCGAATTGAATTCGGTACAGAATAGCGAATTGGCTCCTCGACTAAAGTCACCAATTCGCCACCTTCAATTAAGGGTGCTCTATCAACCTAGGCAGATATTCTCATTCTAGGTTAAAGCAGAAACAATAGGAATTTGATTAGGATTCAAGTCATTCAATCATTCAAGCCTCAATCGAATATAATCAACTCATGAAATCTGTACTTGTGTTCATACAATCAGACCTAACATACAAATCTAGGGTTCTCCATACCCAGATGAATGGGAAAACTACTCCATGGAGAGAGAAGCAAAAGCAGATTCAGACGCAGAAATCATACTGTGAAGGATGAGTTTCTGCTCCTGGTTGTCAATCGGCACTTCTCCAAGCTCAAGCCGGGCTCCAATGGTGATGAAGATCAAGCTATGGCACTTGGGAACTCTGGTTCGTCGCTTTCTCTCTCTAGAAATCGCTCTGTCTCTCTAAAACTCGGAACCCTTGATTTTTTGCCTTCTTTTCCTTTAAAAGGCTGACTGTCGCGATACCCGGTCGGGTATTTTGGGTCGCGACCGGGTATAATTGAAACGCATCGTTTTTGCCTCAGGGGAAATCCCTGGTCTGGCCCAAGAATCCCCGACCGGGGGTTTTTGCCTCCTGCCCGTGCCCCCTTCTGTTTCTCACTAACGCCCAAAGCCAAAAATCCCCGGTCATGGCCAGATAATACTCGGTCGGGTATTTCTGCTCATGGCCGGGTATTTTTGCTCTCCAGCACACTTCAAGCCTCACTTGCTCCTTTTGACCCGAATCTCGTTCCTTCGCCTCGATTCCAACGCCGGGTCCTGAAATATGACATAAACATACAACCTCGCGTGAAATCGGCTTAAAACACGAGAATCAACATCTCAAACGGCTCAAGAATAAGGGTAAAAACATGTGCAATTATCAGTCTATCAAACTCCCCCACACTTAACCTTTTGCTTGTCCCCAAGCAAGCCTAACTCAAACCAATGCAACTCTCCAGACCTCTATAGAAACCAACAACCCCGATCATAGGTAGACGATTTCCTAGATCATTTAGCAGCTTACGAGGTCAACTGACTCACAAGTCATCTCATAGCTTCTTCGGCGAGAGCGCTAGTCTCGAGTCGGCATCATGGCAAATAGTGAACAGAGGAAAAATGAATCGTGGACGAATGGACTCTCAAAAACAAAAGATCATGGACTCATTTTAAGGTTCTCTATTTTCTTCTTGAAGATGGTTGGAACCCCTTTTCTTTCTTTTTTGCTTGTTTTTCTGTATTTTTTCTTTTTCTTTTTTCTTCTTTCAAGGGTCCCAATCTGCTTTTCAGAAAATGGGGGCTCCCACCTAGCAGAGGTTTTGCGGGAGCCCGGCTCTTACCGGCCATGCCAGGAGCGGATGTCTCAAGCCTCGTGCGGGGGAAAGACATGTAAGGGGGCTGGAGGTGATAGGTGGAAATTGGGAACGGATTCCCGTCTCCCCTTACACACTTTCGCCCTATTCGCACGGGAGACGTTATTTTAAAGCACATTTTTAGCACATTTTTTGTTAAAACATGATACAGGAGTCCATGACAGGTAGAGAGTCCACATCACCACACAATTTAAGGGTCCTAAGATCACTAATTCACACAATCAACCAACACAATATGAAGAAGAAAGGAGACTTCTTAAATGCATCAACATCCTCCATAGTGCTACACTACCTCCCTAGGTTGCACATTACTATAGAGACTGTCAATTCAGAGCATAATGAGCAGGCAATTGCAAGGAACACGTACTTGGAGCCCCCAAATTTAAAAATTTGGATAGTGGACTAGGCTCCAAGCACACACAAACAGATCTAATGTAGTCAAAAGAGAAACACCCCCCCCCCCCCCACACTTAAGATCGACATTGCCCTCAATGGAGAAGAGGGAAAGATAAGGGGAATGATGTTACCGGTGTGCACGGACTACGTGAGACTGGAAGTGGACCAGTCTGAGCGAAGAGGACTGGAGAGGGGACCAGTCAGGAACAAGCACAGCTAAAGGACACCAAAGAGCTCAAACACAATACGTTAGGTCCAATGGTCAGCCCAATAATACATCATCCAAACTAAAAGAAAACAAACCAAAGCCAACTCTAATGGCAATCCGACCCAAAACAAAAGAAATAAATGAAAACCGTGATGGGGTTGCCTCCCCACAAGCGCTTCTTTACCGTCTTTTAGCTGGACGCCCATGGTGGATACTCAGGGAGGTGCAGGAACAAGTGCCTCCGAGAGCGGATCCACGTCGCTCTTGAGGTACAACTTCAGGTTGTGGCCATGCACCCGACGGGTGCGACCACCAGCATTGGTCAGCTCGACCTGGCCATCCGGCAAGATGCATGCAAGTGAGTACTCGGATGGCCAGGGTGGTCGTGGTGCAGGAGGTGGGACCAGCTCATAGTGGTCGCCACCTTTCTTCCGAGCAAGCTTAACCACCTGCTGCTTCGGCCGCCACTCCTCTTTGATCTTTTTGTTCGGCGGTGAGGTTGACGGGAGCGGCGGCGAAGGTGCGAGAGGGGGATCCTGCAAAACGAGAGGCACAGAGGGGTACACGACATGCTCGTGTACCTGGTCAGAAATAGCATGCAGAGGTGTGACAGCAGGCATATCACACTGATCTAATTCAGCCACAGAAAAAGTAGCCTGTTCATTCCCAGCACGCTGGATCAGTTTACCATCATGCACATAAATAAGTGCCTTGGCAGAGGAAAGAAATGGTCTACCCAGAATCAAAGGCACATCCATATCCTCATGTATATCAAGAATAACAAAATCAACAGGATATGTGAATGCACCTACATTAACAAGCAGATCCTCTATGATCCCCCTATGATGCACAATGGAACGGTCAGCTAGCTGAATGCTCATCCTAGTAGGGCTAAGTTCACCTAGGTCTAGCTCTTTAAACAACTTATATGGCATGAGATTTATGCTAGCGCTTAGGTCCTCCAAGGACTTGCCTACATGCATGCCGCCAATAGTAAGAGGGATAGTAAAACTCCCTGGGTCCTTGCGCTTTTCGGGCAGCTTGTTCTGCAGGATAGCAGAACACTCCTCGCTCAGCAACATTGTCGAGAGATCCCCAAGTTTCTTCTTGTTGGTGAGGAGATCTTTCATGAACTTCGCGTACTTGGGCATCTTCGACAGTGCCTCCACAAACGGTATGCTGATGTTGAGCTGCTTCAATATTGCCATAAACTTAGCAAACTCAGTCTCCAGCTTGTCTTTGTGTAGGCGAGCGGGGAAGGGAAGCTGGGGTACATGCTCCTTAACCACTGGTTGTGGCTTGGGAGTAGGGGCTACCTTTTCCACCCGCACTTCTGCATCGTTGGCTGGAAGTGCTGAAGTAGAGAGTGGTTCTTCCTGCCTTGCCTGGGCAGGTGTAGCCGATGTTGGCCTGCCACTCCTAGTGAAGATGGCATCCAGCTGCTGGTGCGGCTCGCGAGGATTAGGGATGGTGGTGGCAGGCAGAGTCCCCGGTGCCCTAGTGTTTTTCTGGCTGGCTATTCCTCCAATCTGCTGTTGGAGGTCCTGTAGTATAGCACCTTGGTTCCTCTGAGCTGCCTCCAGCGAGGCGATGCTCTGGTCTATCCTGGCGAAATTTGCCTGGCTGGTAGTCATGAATGCCGCTAAAATTTTTTTCAGCTCCGTCATCTGATTATCTGGAGCTGGAGCTGCTGCTGGCTTGGCATACTAACGGTGGGGCTGCTGTAATGGCTACCCATGCCTAGCCTGGTAGGGCTATTGCGGTGGAACTGGCCCCTGTCTGGCCTGGAAAGGCTGCCTCTGCTGAAAACCACCTGTTGGCTCAGGGAAACCAGGTGGTTTAGTGGTGTTACTACTCCAAGCGAAGTTGGGATGCTGGCGCCACCCCTCATTGTATGTGTTACTGTATGGATCGAGGCGCCGCGCATTGGCGATGAAGGCCAACTGCTCCTGGGGTGTAGAGGACTCCCTCATAGCCTGGCAGTCCTCCACCAGATGATTCGGGCTCTCACACCACTGACACTAAGCTACTGGAGGCGTAGCCGTGGAACTGGATAGAGGATGTAATGAGTTGAATCCAACATGGCTTGATCTCGAAGTTGTTTGCTGGAATGGGCGAATAGAGGATGACCGGGCGGATGTCAGCAATCCGTGGAGTGTAGTAGTACTCCAAGGTGGGACCCGGTCGTGGTCGGTGATGATGAACCCCATCTGCCTGGGGTATGGGGTTGTTCCCCAAGAGCTGATTCACCGGGGGAACCTGGAGAGAATTCCCCGGGGGTGGGTTGTGTTCTCCTTCCATCATGTACTCGTCCTCGGACTCGCTGCTCAAATGGCCGTCTATGCACTCTTCCGTAGCCAGTCTAGCTCGTTGTTGTCTCCTAAGTTGGCACTATCTGCACACACTCAAGCAATGCCAACCCGTGAAGGCACAAGTGGGAAAGAACAAACAATCAATGCGAAAATGAAAATGCTAAAGTAACAAAAATCACTTTTCTTCAACAACCTAGCCATCCCCGACAACGGCGCCAAAAACTTGAATCACTCCAACTGTCACTCTAGAAATTGGCCAAGTGTAACCACTTCATAAAGCGTAGTATAGCGGGTTTGGGTTTTAATGTCAACCCGGGTCCTAGATTTGATGACTACTCGGTAAATTCTTGTTATCTAGCAGTGAAACTTTAGTGCAAGTCCAAATTAACAAACAAACAAAGCATATGGTTACCCCTACACTGCAGTTAAGCCGGATTGCAATTTACCAAGTTTAGTTTCCATGAAAGTTATACTGCGGAAGATTCTTAAACAGTCTGAAGTCTCGACTAAAGGTCTCCAGACCCTCTTAATCTGAGTCTCCAGCGGGCGACTAACCTCCACCGGAGTAAACAGATTGAGGCCCTAACGAACCAAACCTCCACTACCGAATTGAATTCGGTACAGAATAGCGAATTGACTCCTCGACTAAAGTCACCAATTCGCCACCTTCAATTAAGGGTGCTCTATCAACCTAGGCAGATATTCTCATTCTAGGTTAAAGCAGAAACAACAGGAATTTGATTAGGATTCAAGTCATTCAATCATTCAAGCCTCAATCGAATATAATCAACTCATGAAATCTGTACTTGGGTTCATATAATCAGACCTAACATACAAATCTAGGGTTCTCCATACCCAGATGAATGAGAAAACTACTCCATGGAGAGAGAAGCAAAAGTAGTTTCAGACGCGGAAATCATACTGTGAAGGATGAGTTTCTGCTCCTGGTTGTCAATCGGCACTTCTCCAAGCTCAAGCCGGGCTCCAATGGTGATGAAGATCAAGCTATGGCACTTGGGAACTCTAGTTCGTCTCTTTCTCTCTCTAGGAATCGCTCTGTCTCTCTAAAACTCGGAACCCTTGATTTTTGGCCTTCTTATCCTTTAAAAGGCTGACTGTCGCGATACCCGGTCGAAATACCCGGTCGGATATTTTGGGTCGCGACCGGGTATAATTGAAACGCATCGCTTTTGCCTCAGGGGAAATCCCCGGTCTGGCCCAAGAATCCCCGACCGGTGGTTTTTGCCTCATGCCCGGGCCCCCTTCTGTTTCTCACGGACATCCAAAGCCAAAAATCCCCGGTCATGGCCAGATAATACCCGTTCGGGTATTTCTGCTCATGGCCGGGTATTTTTGCTCTCCAACACACTTCAAGCCTCACTTGCTCCTTTTGACCCGAATCTCGTTCCTTCGCCTCGATTCCAACCCCGGATCCTGAAATATGACATAAACGTACAACCTCGCGTGAAATCGGCTTATAACACGAGAATCAACATCTAAAACGGCTCAAGAATAAGGGTAAAAACATGTGCAATTATCAGTCTATCATATGGACAAGTGAATGTGACACAAGACAGAAAGGGAGAGGAAGGGAAGAGATGGAGAACATTAGTAGGTTCGATCTCCATCTTGTCTTTGGAGTAGTACGTGTGTTGAAATTATTATTTGTGCTTAGTTTAGGTGGCTTATTGTAATTTCCCCTAATTACGTAAGTTCCTGAACTAGGCCGGATTAGGGTTACATGTATGGTGTAACCTAGCTGTATATATATCCTCCTTATGTACTCTGTAAAACTAAGCTGAATAAGATTGACTCTAGAGAGTGCTATCTCTCCCGTGGACTAGTCCTGATTCTCAGGGAAACCACGTAAATCCGGTGTTTATGTTCTTTATTCAGACTTCTTATCATGGTATCAGAGCCTCTTGTCTAAGTCTTTCGGCTGCTCTTTGATTGTCGGCTACTCTCGGGTAATCGGTTGCTCGTGGTACTTTATTTCTCGGTTGCTTCTGTCATCTGGTTCGGGCCTAGGGTTTTCGTTCGGCTGCTCGCAGGATTGCGTTTCCGCTTGGTTTTCTTTCTTTATCAGAGTGCTTCTTTTGCTAGGCTGCTGCTTGCTTCCAGGTTATATATATATATATTGGTTATTCGGCTACTTTCTTTTGGTGGTTATTATTATTTGGGTTGGCTTTGTTCCTTGGCTATCCGTATCTGTGTTGTTGGTGCTTATCATGGATACTCTGAAGCATGATGCTGCGTTGATCAGATTTGAAGGGAAAAACTTCCACCTGTGGGAGTTTAGTTCATGACTTTGTTTAGGGGAAGCGCCTTCTTCCGGTTCTTCTTGGTCGCAAACCCAAACCTCCCGAATCTGATGAGAAGGCCTATCCTGATTGGGAAGCTGAGAACGCTCAAGTGATTAATTGGCTTCTTGGCGCGGTGGATGTTCCCACCGGTCTGAGTTTGCGTCGATTTGAAAGTGCTAGTGATATGTGGAAGCACCTTGTTACTACGAACTGTCAGGCTAATGCATCCCGTCAATTTGAGCTCGAGTTAGCCCTGTCAGGCTTGGCTCAGGGTGATCAGGATGTTAGGTCCTATTACAGGAGGCTATGCATCTCTGGACTGAGTCGGATCTTCTCTCTGCATCTCTCTCTGCCACTCCTGCCTCGGCTGAGACTATCGCGGAACGGACTCGCACAAGGACTATGACCTTTCTCATGAAGCTGCGTCGTGACTTTGAACCGATCCGGGCATCCATTCTTCACCGCAACATTAAGAGTCAGGCGCAGGTTGATTCTCAGTCATTGGGTTCGGTTGAAGGCTCCGCTGCCTCTTCGTATCGGCCACAGTTTCAATCTGATTCTGGTGGACAGGGTCCCCCGGCTGCTCGTATTTGTCATTACTGTCGGGAACCAGGTCATATTCAGCCGATTTGCAAAAAAACGTAATTGGTGTAATTATTGCAAGCAGGCTGGACACATCCTTAGTGACTGTCGTCAGCGTGCTCGCCGTCAGTCTGGTTCTTCTCGGCCATTAGGTCCGCCGCCTCCAGCTCCTACTTTGCTACTATGGAGCGAGTTGCTCCACCTACTGGTGGGGTGGCGGGATCGTCCTCCACAGCTGGTGTCTCCAAGGCTGAACTCACAAAGTTACTTCATGAAGCTCTTCAGGAGGTGATGAGCTCTGCCTTTGCTACTGGGGCCTCGTCAGGTAATTCTCGGACTTGGCTTTTTGGCTCGGGTGCTTTCAATCATATGACCAGTCGTCTCGGCAATTACAAGTGGCGAATGGGGCTGTCCTCCCTGTCACAGGGATTGGTTCCATTTCCGAGCCTTCATTGAGTCTCTCACGCACTCTTCATGTTCCGCGTTTGGTTCCGAATCTTATCTCTGTGGGACAGCTTGCGGATGAGGGGTGTGAGGTTCGATATAATGATAACGGTTGTCTGGTGCAGGATCGGATGACGGGGAGGGAGCTAGGCCGGGGACGTAAATAGGGTCGGGTCTATGTGTTGGAATCTCTTCATACTCGACGCCAGCTAGTGAGTGAAGGGTTTCCTTGCCGTTCAAGTGGTGTCTCTGCCGAGGGTGCTGCTCATGGGGAGGTTGTTGCCGCTCCTCAGTCTTTGATTTCTAGTTTTTCAGTTCGTAGTCATTTGGATGTAAGGGATTCTGTTTGGGATTTATGGCACTGCCGTTTGGGGCATCCGAATTCTGCTCGTTTGCTACAGATGTTTCATAATAAATTGCTTCCTGTGAAATTTCGATCTAGCTCCTATTCTCCTCCCTCGTGCGTGAGTTGTATTGAGGCGAAGGCCTCTCAGATTTCATTCTCTCCCAGCACCTCCACATATACCGCTCCCTTTGATCTTATTCACACGGATCTTTGGGGATCAGCTCCTTCACCGTCACGTAATGGGTTCTTGTATTTTGCGTTGTTCATTGACCACTACAGTCGCTACACGTAGATTTACTTTCTTAAGAACAAATCGGAACTCAAGACCCATGCGCAAGACTTTGTTCGGATGATACAGACTCAGTTTCAGAGAATAGTTAAGATCATTCATTCTGATCCAGGAGGGGAGTTCAGTTCGTATGAACTTCTGCAGTTTTATAAGTCGGCCGGCATTCTCTCTCAACAGTCATGTCCCGGTGTTTCACAGCATAATGGTCTAGTAGAACGTAAGAATCGTCATGTTATGGAACTGACGCGTGCTCTCTTGTTTCAATCCGGTGTTCCTGCTCACTTTTGGGTCGAAGCTGCTAACACTGTGGTGCATCTTATTAATCGACAGGTTACTCCGGTCCTGGATGGTTATTCCCCCTATTATAAGCTTTTCTCTCGCCATCCAAAATACGATCGCCTACGTGTCTTTGGGTGCCTCTGCTTTGTCTTGCTCCCTCGCCGAGAACGTACTAAACTTACTCCTAAAACTGTCCGTTGTGTTTTCTTTGGGTATAGTGATCCCTACAAAGCCTACCTTTGCTACGATCCGGTTGGTCATCGTCTTCGAATTGCTTGCCATGTTCTGTTTATGGAGCATATTCCATATTATTCTCTAAAGACAACTAGTGATCGTGTTGCCTTTGAAAGCAGCTTGGCATTTTTGTCCTCTTTTCCATCACCGATTTCCTTGCCACCTGGAGGGGGGGGGGGGGGGTGGGGGAGTGACAGTGATGCATCCGGTTCTTCTTCCTCCAGTTCGTCCTCGTCGGGGTCAAGTTCCAGTTCGTCCTCATCGTTGCCTTCATCCTCATCATCTTCATCTGGTCCATCATCGCCCTCGCAAACGATCTCCTCGGCCCAGCAAACGTCCTCTGCCTCTAGCTCCTCTACGGCCTCTTCGTCAGCTCATGATGGGTTTCTAGAAGATATGGAAGAAGTTGATAATAATAACAATAATTTGGACCACCAGGAGCTTCGTCGCTCAAATAGGGTAACGAAAGGCAATCCTCCCTTGCGGCTTCAGGACTACGTGGGATTTTCGGTAGATCCTATTTTTGTTCCTGCTAATTATCGCCAAGCTTGTGGCATTCCAGAATGGGATGCAGCGATGGTCGATGAGATTGATGCCTTGGAAGCTAATCAGACATGGGATCTTGTTCCTAGAACACCATAGATGTCAGTTGTTGGGAGTAAGTGGGTATATGCTATCAAAATGAAGCCTGATGGTACTCTTGAAAGAAACAAGGCTCGGGTTGTTGCACAAGGATTTAGCCAGGAGTATGGAATCGATTATGAGGAGACGTTTGCACAGGTAGCAAAAATCCAGACTGTTA